TTCCCTTGGGATTCACCAAGAGCTGAGCAAAGCTGTGAGCCCAGGGTGGATGCACGCAGCACACACACACAGAAACTGCACTTCACACTCACCTCAATCCCCACTCAGTGCCTTTTGTGTGTTTGCACAACCACTGCAGCCAGCTGGAGGAGTTCTCCCACTTCAGTGGCAGGATTGAAACAGGGAATCCACATTGACCCTGTAATTATACCTGTACCCCTCAGCCCATGGCGACTGTCTGTGGGCAGAAACTCACTCTCCTATCACACATAAAAGGTGTTTCACCTGGTAACGCGTTGTATGAAAGAGATAGCTCACACAGTGAGCTACCTCGGGATGCAAGCCTTGAAAACACACCCTGTGAATGATGATTTGAGCTACAGAGAAAGAGCATTAAGGTAAGAAGCAACAATATTTCCTTTGCACTTGTCCTTCACCATATTTAATTTTTTTTACAATACAAGGAAAAAATAATAGAAATTTATTCTTTTCTGCTATTTAAAGTATAAATGCCAACAGAAACTTACTTTTCAGAGTAATAAGGTTGAAATTCTCAGCCCACAGTACTATGATTAATTATGATTTTCAAAATATATGTCCAAAATGCTGTCTCAACCCAGACAAAACTAGATGGGAGGCAAAATACCAGTCACTTCAGGAAATACAGGATATTGCTCTAATTGGAGGGATGTACAACCCAATACCCACTGCTGTTAGCTACTTTTTTATTATTTGGAGTTGTGCTAAATTTCAAATTATCATAAACATGAGAGTGACTGTTATGTTGTTTTATACATAAAACAGAAAATTCTATCCATAAACAGGCCTTTTAGCCAATCAACTAGACAATATTCCTTCCATTTATGAAACACTCCAGTTTTTTTCTGTCAAACCTGCCTTTCCAAGATGAATACACACCATTGTATAAATGAACATTGTGATTCTTTACTGCTTGTGGGCTAGGGGTAAAAAAAGGAATATAATTTATTCTCTGCAACCACAGGATTTATTAGAGACACTTTCAAAAGAGAGAGCAGAAATAACTGTGTCACTGAAGGTACAGGATTAACATTAAAACCATAATTGTTTTTAAAAAATTGAACTCTCAAGCACAAGTTACACAGAAGGGCAACATTAAAGAAGCTGTGGCAGTGATTGCCCTAATGCATCTCCACATATTGTCAAAGACAGAAGCTGCCCACAAATAGCACATATTGATATTTCTCCTGCAGCTGCTGTTTGGTCCAGCAGAAGTTGCCCCCTGTCCCAGGTGAGACAGAAAACCCCAGTTTGCAGCACACGATTACTCACCCAGGCTGTGTGTGGATTATCTGGGCTCTGCCCTCCTGCTTGTCTCTCCTTCTCTCACTCTAACATGACTGACATCTGGCAGCCTATTCCAAATCTCAAACCTCACATTTGATCTTCCCTTTTGGAGTCCAGTATGCTTCAGTTAGGCAGAGGAACTGGGGATTATTCCCGCAAAAACGTTAAGATCTTTAGGCACAACAGGAAACTACAGATCTTTCACAGTTCACCCAGACTGTGATCATGGAGAGGTCAAAAATTTTTTGAGAAAGCATCAGACCTTTGTTTCTTTTCTTGGTGTTTGCATTTCTTGTGCCTCAGACTGAGTAACACAGGAAAATACTGCACAGTAGGGAAAAAACCCCCAAAAAACTGGCAAAAGAAAAACCCCCAGGCTGTAGCTTGTATTTCCCATGATTTCTCCCATGGTGTTGAGGATTACCCTGTCTACCCTGCTTTTCCACAGAGTGCCCCAAAGTGACACCTCCTGCAAGATGTGTGGATTGTGTGACTGATGCACACTCCTGCTGCATTTCTCTGTGTGGTTTTAAACAACCAGAACACACAAGTGTTGTGACTGAAATAGCTACAACAATGAAACACCAGCAGCCACGCAGATTTTATCTTTCTCTATTTTTACTTAACTTTTTTTTTTTACTGAAACTTGAGCACAGTTTGGCTTTGGACAAGCAATCTGTACACTCAAAGGAACCCAAAATACAAATATAATACTGGGAGTCTACAGTAGCCAGAGATTTATACAATGCATGATTTTTTCTGACTGGTACTGTGATGTGGATCCAGACTAACGCTCCTGAAACCTGTGGAGTTTTCCAAAATTTGTGTAAGCAGAGAGAAGGATTTGGCATAAGCTCAGACTGTCCATTTTCATTTGGGTCTGATACATTTTTTAATATATGAGTAAGAACCTGATATGTAATATGATCATTCAATGTGAATAAGCCTGAAAATCCTGTTTAGGCCTGCGATCTTCAACTTTTTGTAACGTGCCAACCTCTAAATGCTTTAAAGTTGACCCTCACACAAAAGATTTAAGTTTCTGATGATCAATTTGCTTTTCTTACTTACCTTTTGCAGCTCAGTCCATGGATCCCAGTTGAAACCACTGGTTTAGTCAAAATGGCAAATACTGTTTACAGAGAAAAGGCAAGAATAGAGCTATGATGTGGGAAGTAAAGAAACAGATGGAGTATACACTCCTTGCTGTAATCAGTATTTCAGCTCCATAACACCTTCAGTGGGACAGCAGCTCCCACACACACACATTCCCACCTGGGAGGAGTCACTGGCGTGCCCACAGTGCTGCAGCACCCCGGCACACCCAGCAGCTGCCTGCAGGACCGAGGCAAAGCAAAGAGCAGAGCTGTGCAGGGAGCTCAGGCTGAGCTCCAGGAGCACTCAGAGCCACCCCTGATGTCCATGAATCACAGTGGTGACACTGGCTGGGCTCACCTGGACCGCCAGGTACTGCAGCTGGCCCGGCTGAACAGAGCTGCAGACACACACACTGCACTTGCAGGAGAAGCACAACAAGGGAAATCAGATATTGGTGCATATGATGTACACATGTACATATTTTATATATTTATTTTTCTTAGAAAACATTGCTGCTGTTTATGTCCACTAATTTACATATATTTATTCCTACTACAGTATCATTTACAATAATACTTTCACTTCTATAGCACCTCCTCTTCAAGGATCTCCAATTGCTTAAAAACATTAATAAATAAAGCCTCACATCTTGCCTGTGAGGTAGGTCAATGCTATTATCAAACTTTACAGATGCATTAACTGAAGAACAGAGAGGTTAAGGCCCAAATTTTCAAATATTTGTACCTGAAGTCAAGCACCTAAATTCTCATTTAGATGCTTAAATAAAAGTCTTGTGATTTTCTTTGGTGCAGAATATCTACAACTACTGCTGAAGTCAACAGGGGCTAACGGTCAGGCCTGATTTTAGGAGGCATGACCTTTTAGACAGCTAACAAGCGACTCCAAGTTGGAAAACACTGGTCTAAATACACAAATCTCAGTCAGAGCCACAGTTGATCCCAGTAATTTATCTCCTCAGGGCCTTTATATTATGGTATACAACTTTAAAAGGCTGGTGTGGATCTTTTTCAATAGACATAAGTGACACAAAAATCGTCTACTGTTTCCACAAACTGCGTCCTTCATCAGAGTCTGTACAAATACTGCTTGGTTTGTGGGGTTTCTTGGGTGTCAGGGGGTTGTTTTTCACACATCTGTGATAATCAAGACATTGCACAGCACACACCACTTGTGCAGTCATGAAACACATCACACATCTTCACCTGCTGTCTTTACATTTCTACAGAGTCAATTTCTTTGCACTTGTGATAAACAGAAGTGGTCAAGTAAAGGTCTATTAAGAGGATACTTGTCAGAATATCATGCAGACAGCTTGCAAAATACACATACTAAAAGATCACTTTTAAAATTCTTGAATTGTTAAGCACGAAAATAATTACCTCATTCCATTACAGTACTGTGTAGAAACACGGAATAAGCAGCATTATCTTATTCCCAATAGAATAGATTATAACAACTAATTAAGTTTAAAAAATTCAGGCACCAAATGAATTATCCTGCAACATAGAACAGTATCTATATAGAGTGCTCTCCTTAATATACTACAAAACCAGCTGTATGGCAATGTTTTTCCATTTCATATTATGAACATCTTGTCACGTTTCAAAGACACCTTTGATGTTCCAGCCTCACAGAACAAAACCGTTTTCTATTGTCCGTTACAGAAACTCCCAACACAGAAGATAAACTTGCCAAGAGGGAAACCCATTGTCTTACTGCAGCTACCTCGACCGAATTTGCCATCACAAATTACACTACTGCATTCCACTTTTACACTGATGCTGAAAGTCCATACTTTAATGTGGGCTCCTCTCACCGCATACAAATTGAAATCAGTGAAATATTAATCCCTGTGACAGGAGGCTCTTAGCTCCAATTTAGAGCTCCATTAATTAAATAATCTTCCATAAATTGTTTTAAGTGCTCAATGTAGTGTTTCAGTCTCCCACATTAAATTAGAATTTCAAAGAATTAAATAATACAGCTTATTTTAAGCAACCATCAGAGGGCTCAACAGCCTTCTAATAAAATTATAATGAAACCATACTCAGTACACTGTAGGAAACTTTGGCTCAGTCTCTTTTAAGATAATACACTTCTGTTACAGCTTCTTCTATATGTTAACTTGGTAACGTCATAAAAGGGAAAATACAAAGCGCATTCAACACCGTGCTCCTGTTCTGCTCCTAACCACAGCGAACCTCTCCAATTATCTTCCAGGTGGGGGCAACAGTAAGCCAGTTTTGTGTGATCGCGGCCGTGTCCTTCTGCATCAGGAGCTCAGCGCGCGGGGATGCGCTCCCGCAGAGGCGGGCACCGCGCACACCCCGAGCTCCAGCTCCCCAGGGAGGCGCTTCCAGCATCTCTGCGGGCGAGGCGCGCCCTGCCCTCCCCGCCGAGCGGCCGGGTCACCCTGCGGCCCGTTCGCACCGCCGCGGGGCCACCGTGACGGCGGGGCCGCGGCGGGGCCGGCACCTGTCACCCCGCCCCGCCCGTGCGCTCACCCCCGCCCGGGGCTCCCGGAGCTCGGCCCGGCCCCGCTGGGCCCCGCCGTGGTTACGTGTCGCTCCTGCGGGCGGCCCGGCCCCGCGCCGAGCCGTTGGCCGTGGCCCCGCCGGTGCCCGCCTCGGGCCGGTACTTGAGCCAGCAGATGAGCCATGTGACGACCACGGAGAAGAGGGCGAGGATGCTGGCGACCGACAGGCAGATGGGCCCCACCGGCGAGGGTGATGCCGCGGCGCCGGGCGCGGCGTCCCCGCCGTACTGGTTGACGAAGATGAGGCCGGTGAAGAGCAGCACCACCATGGAGAGGAAGGAGACGACGACGCACACGCAGCCGGCGCTCAGCGCCGCCCGCTTGCAGCTCTGGCAGCTCTCGTAGCCGCCGCCCGAGGAGCGCGGCCCGGCGGGGGCGGGGGGCGGCGGGGCGAGCGCGGCCGCCGCCTCCCGGGCGCGGGGCGGGCGGCGGGGCGGCAGCGGCGGCAGGCGGTCCTGCGGCACCGGGTCGCGGGCCCGCAGCTGCGGCGGGCAGGCGGCGGCCAGCTTGGTGTTGACCGGGAGGCCGTGGACGCGGTGGTCGGGCAGCGCCGTGCGGTGGCGGCAGAGCGGGCAGGCCAGGGAGCCGCCGGGCGAGCGCCCCGGGCCCGGCTCGGCGCCGGCGGCGGGCGGGTGCTGCGCGGCGCGCAGGTGCAGCTGGCTCAGGCACTCCTGGCAGAAGGTGTGCAGGCACTCCAGCAGCTTGGGCGCCCGCCGCTCCAGGTCGAAGTAGTTGTAGCAGATCTTGCACTCGTAGTCCTCCGAGCTGGGGGCGGCGGCGGCCGCCGGCGGCGCCGCCACCGCCGCCTCATCCTCCCGCCGCCCGCCCTGCCCTACGCCGCCCGTCTGCGCCGGCTCGGCCATAACATCTCGCCGGAGGGGGACGGAGAGAGCCGCGGAAAGGCGGGGAGCGCCGGGCCGGCCCGCGGGGAGCCGCGGCAGCCGCGACCCCGCCGCCTCCTGGCCGCGCCCGCGGGCTGCGGCGGGGCCCGGCGGGGAGGGCGGGGGACGGAGGGAGGGCCCGGCCGCCTGCCTGCGTCGCCCGCCGCGCTGGCGGTGCCGGGGGCTGCCGGCGGCTGCCGCGGGCGGGGGGCGGGATCGGCGCCGCCCGCCCCCGGGAGCGGCCGCCGGTGCGCGGCGGAGGCTGCGGTGCCTCTGTGCTGCCCGCCCGGCGTGCGGGGCACGGCACGGCTCGGCACACAGCACGGCACACGGCGCAGGGCACGGCACGGCCTCGCTGCTGGCTCGCCGGCGGGAGCCGCCCCCGCAGGCCGACCCGCCGGGCTCGGTGCTCTCCCGCAGTCCCTCCGCCCTGCAGCGCTGCGGGGAACACGCCTGGGTGCCGGGCAGCCCTTTAATCCCGGAGTGCGTGTTCTTAAAGCGTTCTGCGGGTTTTAACAGTTGACGAGGATTCCCCGCTGTCAGTATGCTTTGAGACCCGCAGTTACAATGACATGACGCTCGTTAGGCACGAACACGGCAGGTGAAGGGTTAATATGGGAAGGCAGGGTGACATCTCTTTCATACACCGCAGCTCACAGGCTAACTGATATTTTACTGCTTTTCGGAAAGAACATTTTGTGCACCGTGATTCTCGTTCGTGGTGCACGCTGAGAAATAAGAGGTGTTTTATTCCGGAAGCTGGAGGCCGAAGGAGCTGCTAGTGTTGTTATTTACATCCTGACATCGCTATACAATTGAGAGCTTTCACCCAGTTTAAGGGAAAACATCCAAACAGTGAGATGCCCACAGCTGTAATGTTATATGTTAAACAACCTGATAGATTTCACTACATCAAAGCCTGCGCTGCCTCATCAGGGAACTCTCTGGAGAAACTCTTTTATCTCAGGTGTAGCAGAGGCCATAACAGTGATTATTTCTCTCTGCAGTTCTGAGGATAGCTCTAGGCAAGTAAGGCCCGTGTTTCAAGTACTCTGCTTTGCCTTGCTGTCTGGCTAAAGCTGCATCTTGGGCAAATCAGCTCTGGCCTGAGAGCTGTGTCATCTTGGATGCTTCTGCCCTCCTCTGCCGTGGGACATGCTGGATCAGGTGTGCTTCACATCAGATGCTCTGAAAGCTCTCTCCTCCTCAGTGCTGTCTGTGCTGGGCTTTGTTCTTGAGCTCTGAGCGTTCTTGAAGAGCGGGGGAATCATTGTTTAGAAAGACTTACTTGTTGGAAAGATAAAAAGCAACGTATTTGTAAACTGTGATGACAGATGTGATGATTGTCCTGGCCAAAGGGGGAGCATATCTCAGCTTAGCATAAACTGAAATCATGGGCTAAAGTCAAACAGTGAAAAGTAGGAATGTTCTCTGTACAGAGAGACATTGTTTTATAATTTATCTATATATAAGACTAAGAGATGTCTTAAAATCCTTTAAAAGTGTTGGTTGTGCCTCTAAAAAAAAGAAAGGTGACTTTTGTTGTTACTGTCCATAGTGCTGCTTGGTCTGTGCAGTCAAAAATTACCCTTGTTTAAAGGCACACATTGGTTTGCAACCTCAGAGCTAATCTGTCTGATGAACTTGGACTTTTTCATCTACCTCTGGTAACTTCCTTTTCTAAAATGAAATCTCATTGTATTTAGTCATACATCCTTATATTCTAAAATGTATGTTTCTGGTAGTTTGTCTGTTTTGGTTTTGGTTTTTTGTGTGGGTTTTTATTTTGATTTGATTTGGTTTGGTTTTTTTGCTTGCTACTCTTTCCCAGTTAGCATCAGCTTCCTATTTAATTAGTTCCCTGTTAAAACATGTCAGATTATCCCAGGCAGTGCACTTTTCTTTAATATTACTGCCACTTTCATAACTCTACAGCCTCCAACAATTTTCAAAACACGTGAAAGTCCTCAGATCCACACAAATATGAATTAATATTTCAAGTACATTTTTTTTTGAGGCACTGTATCAAATGCTTTAATAAGGTCCAGATACATCAGCTGCATTTCTGGTTCAGAGTGCTTCACCCCTGCCTTTTGTGTTCTGAGTTTTCTTATCTGATGGATATCTGCCTTGAGGTCAACTGAAACTCCATCTAATAAGTATGTGAAAGTCAGCACTGGAAAAGCTTCCTGTAATTCAGGCATGAAAACTGCACAGGATAGATGGGGAAGTTGAGCATAACTGAAAAAATAATAATCATTAAAAACAGCTAAATGCAAAATTAGGATAAAATTTACTCTTTTCTTTGCTAAATCTAAGAATGGGGAAAACTGGTGAGTGGTCACAGAAACATCCTGGTCCCCAATCACCCCTGTGAGCACAGTCCTGGATAACTCAGTCCCACTCAAGCGAGGTTATCTTGTGCTGTGCAGTCCCTAGAGAATATTGTTTAGCACAGCATGTAAAGTGCATGGGCCTCACTGCTGGTGAGATGTTGCTTTATTCTGGACCAGCACAACCCCTCTTCACCTCTTTGTGTCTCTAGTGGCACTTGCAGGTTCTGTCCTTGCCCTTCTGCTGGCACAGGAACTCATGTGATGACACGGCCAGTCAGCTTTTGGAGACAATCCAGCTGAATGCTTTTTACTTTTTAAGTAAGTTTTTTCTGCTGGAACAGCTCAGGGAAGCAGGTTGTTGCCTGGGTGCATGAGGTCTGCAGCCAGTGGGAGGAAAAATGCCAGAGGCTGTGTGGTCAGGAGAGGAAATGAGGTGGGACCGCAGCGCGGCTGATTTACGTACATTTACCTTCCCATGGAACCAAGCCATGAATGATTTCAGCCCTCCTGTCCCAGCCCAGCATCCTGTCATGTGTGTGTTACAGCTGGGTCAGAGGCAGGCTTGGCAGCCCCTGGCAGCCCTGTCCCTGCAGCACAGTGTCCTCCTGTGGCTCTCTGGGAGGCTCTGGGTTCCCATCTGCTCCCTGTGCCCGCTGCTGCCCTGGCTCCTCGGTCCCTTGGACAGGGAGGGTGCCCAGCCTGCAATTAAAGGTGGCTTCTTACCTGGATCCTTCTGGTGACTGACCCTGTGACTCTTCACAAGCAGAGGAGCTGGGCCATGAGTACTGGAGAATACCTCTGTGCTGAATTTGAAGACCTTCTCAGCAGGGAATTGAAGAGATGAAATATTTTTTCAGATTTTTGGAAAAGTTGCCATATTTACAGAGATCTAGATATATTATCTCTTTTAGTCACTTTAATGACAATGAATGTTTATTTTTTGGATTGTCAGGTTGTAGGGACTGTTTTTTAGTGGGAAACATGTATTAGTTATTGTAAGAAAGCCCCAGAATGTGGCTGAGCTGATTCTGAGGGCTGACTTTTGTCTGAAACACTACAGAAGACTTTGGATGTTATTCAGCAGAAGTTGTGTTAGAAATTCAGAGCAAAAGTGGCAAACAACCCTTACAAAAGACACATTTTTCCACTTAATCTGCAGCTGGTAAGAATTGATTTTTAGTGTGGTAAATATCAGGCCTAATTTATCCTGTGCAATGTGCCAGTTTCATGCTGGTGCAAGCTTTGGTCTAAGAAGAGTTGTAACAGTATAAATTAATAAATCAATGAGTCAAGCCCAAAAGCTCATAGAAGAATCCTCCTGTTTTTCATAAGGGACATATTGACATACACCCCTGCAGCAATAATGTCATGTTAAGGTATTTTAATTCCCCAGAAAGTCTGTGTTCTTATACAATAGGTGTTTTTCACTTTTGATGGGTGGCAAAAGATGTCTTATTTTTATGCCCCATCATTGCATAATAGGATGCTGCATCATCTTCTGCTTTCTTGACGTTGACATTTTATTTCATATAAAGTATTTCTGAATAATTTATAATTAAAGTGCTTTTTTACCTTTTCTGTATTGGAACTTCTGTAAAAGCCATTGCATGTTGGTCTATTGCATTCAGTACTGAAAGGAACATTCATTTTCAATAGTATTTGAAAATAGCCATTTCAGGGAGCTGAAAAAGCGAAAATGGATTACAGTTATGAGCAATTCTACATCAGTCACAGCCATATAAAAATATGTTAATCTCTTAATGTATGTCATAAGAAAGATGCAGAAGTAAATGCAATGTTTGACACCACTCTCCTACCAGTAAAACCTTTATTGTGTTTTATCTGCTAACTACTGTCCTATTTCAATTGGCTCAGGAAATTAGAAATGTCTGAAGGACAGACCTTTGCTGACCACTCAGCTCTTTTCTCCTGGGTTAAGCTCTCAGCTTCTCCTCCTCACACAGTGTTCACCTGCAGCCCCAAGCACAGAAACACTCTGGCTGGTGTCAGTCTCATGCCAAATTTTATTGGCAATAAAAGGATGAGGGCCTAAACCTGGGGGTGATGTATAATTTCTGATGGGAATGATTTCTTGTTGTTCCCATCCATGTCTTTTCCATGATGTGTTTTCAGCACATCCCTGCATGACAACTGCATTACAAGCTTTTGTTAAGAAATAATGAGGAATTATTTGAAATTGCGAGGCCATGTCCAGCAGGTGCCTCTCCTTCTCCAACAGCTAAGCTTGAACAGCATAAAGAGATCCCCACAGATGTGCTATCCACAGAAATGTTTGAGCTGATGGCAGATATGGGCTGGCTCTGCAGTTTGGGCAGAGGTGGATCTGGGGTCCCCTGGCTTTGCTCCAGCCCATGGGAATTTCAGGTTGGATGGTTTGGGCTCCAGAGCTCCAGGAGAGTCCCCATCTCCTGTGGTATGGCACGTTATTGATCGCTCCTTGGAGCAGTGACTGTGTCAGGGCAGATCTGCCCTGGGTCTTTGCAGGGATTTTATAAATCTTATACATTTTATAAATCTTTTAGAAAACAGTATTTAAATTGGTGCAGTCTTCCAGGTTGGCTGCAGCTTTTGAAACGAATATATTTGTATAAAATTTATCTTCTAAGCTAATGGCACTTCTTCAAACCGTGTGGTGATTATATAATTGAATCAAGAATCCAGGAATTCATTCTTGGATTAACTGTTGGGGTTTTTTGGGTTTTTTTGTTAGTGTTTTTTTTTTTTTCCAAAAAGAAACAAGCTAAAAAGAGAAAAAGAGGGAAAGCCTCAGAGAAGCCTTTTGTTTTAGCCAGCACTGTGTTTTCTGCACTTGAGAGTAATGGTGAAAATTTAATCCAGCACTGGGTGCTGGATGCAGTGTGGGGCTGGCAGAGCCTGTTGGGGCTTGCCTGGAGCAGCAGCCTCTGCAAGGAGAGGGATTTCTGTGGAGCAGGGCATTTTTAGATGTGGAACTGCTGGGGCTCAGTGGCACCTTGGAGCTCAAAATTATGGTTCTGTTTGCCACAGTAAAGCAGCTGGGTAGGAAAATGTATAAAAACAAGATTAATAATTATTATTAATTGTGATTAGAGTAATTAGTGAATGCCAGCATGGCTATTAGCTCTTGGGCAGTTACTTTATGCTGCCCAAATTGTCCTTGCACTGCA